TGTGTATGGGTCACACTTTCCTATGTCTTTGCACATTTTGTAATTTTTTGTTGTTGTGGAAAACTGGACATTTTAGACAATGCTATTGCAACTGTGGATACTGGTTTCTCTCCCCACCCCCCCACCCCCAGGGGTTGTGACTGTTGTTTGCTTGTTTATTTGCTTAGTGAATGGCTGGGCCATTGTAGTGATGTCTCTTTCCCCTGCGGTGTGAAGCCTCTGGTGCTCCTTCTCAGAGGGCCCAGCCTCGGGCATGTGCGCATCACCTTAGAATACCAATGGTTTCACAGGGGCTCTCTCTATCCTTCCCCATACTTAGCTGTTACCCCACCAATTGTGGGCTGATTATTCTATTGTTTTTGACAATGCCTAGGGCATCCATTGCTCCATAGACTGATCTAAATAATCTGGGGCTCCTTTAAGAAGGTAGCTTTTGAATTCAGTGTCTGGGGTTTGTTCTGACCCCATCCAGGCCCTTGTTAGCTATCTCCTTCCCCAGTTCTCTGTGGTAAACTAGCTGGCCCAAGGGGTACTCTGTTGCACTAATGGAGGTACCAGCTTCCTCTTAGTTGCTTACCACCAAAGCCTCCACTGACTTTGAGAGCGCCTTTGCGCTTGAATTTCCCACATATTGTTTCAAATAAAGTCACGATTTTTTTGCAGGGAAAGTTTCAGAACTTTCTGTTTTATTGCCTGCTTCTCCATAGGCAGAATCCCTGGGCCGCAGTTCTGGAGCTGAGGGCAGGGACAGTGGTGCCTGTCTCACTGGGTTGACAATGCCTCCTTAGGGTGGGGACAGTAGCCTCTGGCCTTCTCTGCTCGCCCTCCCCACGGGGGAGCCTCCTTCCTGCAAAGGAGCTTCGGCTTGAGCTACCAGGGCTCCGTGTTCCCAGCCCTCTGACTCTGAGGTAGAGGTTTTGCTCCATGAGCAGAGGCTGATGGAAGAGGGAGCCCCTGGCTTCTCTGCTGCACCTGCCTGGAACTTGGTTTCTGCAACACGGAGCTAGAAGTGCAGTCCCACGAAATGAGTTTCAGCCCTGTGGCTAGGAGAAAAGAAGTCAGGAAAGAAACTTGGCTTCAGACCTTGTTTTTACTTTTGAATTGGAGATAAGAGACGGTAGGCCTGTGTTAATATTTCCACCTTACATTGTTGGAAGAAGGTATATATCTTAAGGCCAAACAGCTGGTGGTGACGTGCCAGGGCTACACATGCAGGCGGGCCGGCTCCAGAACCCGCCTCAGCTTAACCTCTGCTGGGCTGTGAGAATCTGTAGGACATGGCCTTAGGGTTTTCAATTTATGCTTCTATGACTTCCAAGGTACAGATGACTGTGTGCAGGCGTATATGTATCTGTCCTCTGCCTTCTCCCAGCAGGTGCTCGGTATCCCTGTGGCCTCCATGTTGAAAGCAGAACGTGTGTGCAGAGTGGACGTGGCTCTCTTCCGAAGCCTCTTTGGGGCCACAGGATCAGGCACTGTTTGAGTGGACATACTGCTCCGTACTGTGCACCCCAGGGCCTCCTGTGCTGGCCATGCCCGTGCCCACGGAGGGCACCCCTCCACCCCTCAGTGGTACCCCTGTCCCAGTCCCAGCCTACTTCCGCCATGCAGAACCTGGCTTCTCCCTCAAGAGGCCTGGGGGGCTCAGTCGCAGCCTCCCACCCCGGCCCCCTGCCAAGGGCAGCATCCCCATCAGCCGCCTCTTCCCTCCTCGGACCCCGGGCTGGCATCAGCCCCAGCCCCGGAGGGTGTCATTCCGAGGCAAAGCCTCTGAGACCCTGCAGAGCCCCTCATATGACCCCAGCCAGCCGGAGTCCTTTTTCCAACAGAGTTTCCAGAGGCTTGGCCGCCTGGGCCATGGCTCTTATGGAGAGGTCTTCAAGGTGAGTGGGGTGACAACTCCCTGGGCCTGCTGGGGGAATCCCCACATCCAGCCTCCCTCCCATGCCTGGATGGGACAGTGTCCTAGGCAGCCAGCTTGACAGGCTCCCTTCCTCAGTGCCTGATTTGACTGCTTTCTCCTTCCCCCCACTCAGGCCCCTCAACACACACGTTCCCCTTGTCCAGAGCCTGGCACGCTATACAGTGGCTCCTGGCTGCCTTTCCTCCTGCCCTGGAGCCAGCCCCCTCCCCCATCACCTCAGGCCAGCGGGAATTCAGGCTACACCCTCCATGCCACTTTTTTTTTCTTAAAATATATTTCCAATCACTTCTGTTTCCTTTAAAATGGTAATTCTTACACAAGTACTACATGGAGACAATTTTGTTGTTAAAAAGTACAAACAACACTGGCCCCTAGACCAGTTCTTCCCAGAAGAATCTACTATGCTTCTCAGGTGGGTGTCCTTCCTTCCAGACCTTTCTCTATACATCTCCAAAGTTGACCATATAGAGACAAACTCACTGTGTATTCTACACAGCGGGTCATTCTGCCCACATGGTGCTGTACCCAGCTGTCTTCATAGAACAACATGTCATGGAGACCCTTCTGGGTCAAGACTTAGAGCCCGACTGGCTTACCCAGTTTTGCTATTGCACGTGTGTGGGTCTCGCTAAGGTAGAGGCTATGCCACAAATCCCACACGTGTACAGTTGTAATAAAATCTGCCAGATGGCCCTCCTAAGTGGTTGTGCCGCCTCCCTTCCAGGTACGCTCTAAGGAAGATGGCCGTCTCTATGCAATAAAGCGTTCTATGTCACCATTCCGGGGCCCCAAGGACCGGGCCCGCAAGCTGGCCGAGGTCGGCGGCCATGAGAAGGTGGGGCAGCACCCACGCTGTGTGCGGCTGGAGCAAGCCTGGGAGGAGGGCGGCATCCTGTACCTGCAGACGGAGCTGTGTGGGCCCAGCCTGCAGCAGCACTGTGAGGCCTGGGGCACCGGCCTGCCCGAGGCCCAGGTTTGGGGCTACCTGCGGGATACCCTGCTTGCCCTGGCTCACCTCCACAGCCAAGGCCTGGTCCATCTTGACGTCAAGCCTGCCAACATCTTCCTGGGGCCCCGGGGCCGTTGCAAGCTGGGTGACTTTGGGCTGCTGGTGGAGCTGGGTACGTCTGGAGCTGGTGAGGCCCAGGAGGGAGACCCCCGGTACATGGCTCCTGAGCTGTTGCAGGGCTCCTATGGGACAGCAGCGGATGTGTTCAGGTGAGGGCTGGGATGTGGGAGGCTCTTTGGCGGGGCGGGGTGGGGTACACTTAGCAGAGGGAGGGAAACGCCACCCTAGCCCAAAGTCAGGAAGACTTGGCCTTGGGCTGGACATGCTGCTCCAAAGGGGTGGAGGCCTGCCCTGTAGTTGAGGGGGTTCTGCAGAGTCAGGCTGTCTAAGCAGTGAACCCTCTGGAGCCACTTTACATGCATCCACCCATTTCCTCACCACACCCCCATAGGGGGGACAATGACTCCATTTATAGGCAACGGACACAGTGGAGTTGAGGGACTTGCCCGAAGTCCAGTTAGCAAGTGGTGAGGCTGGGACTGGACCAGGCACTGGGTTCCATCGTCCATGCTAGTAACCACTGTCCTGCCTTGAACAGCCATATCCAGCCTTGTCAATAGAACGATGGTAGTAACAGTAGTAACCATAGTGCCTGTCCAGTGAGGGGTGCCAGGAGGACTCACCAGGTGCTATAGGCTGTGCTCTGCCTGGGGTCCATTCTGCATGACACGGTCCCATCACTGGCCCTGTTGGAGCCTTCTCAGGACACCCCCCCCACACACACATCCCTGGCTCATGGCAGAAGACCGCAGCCCTTTCCCACACTCTTCTTGGGCAGCCTGGAGCTCTAGGGTCTGTGTCTCAAGGCCAACCTTGCCCCTCTTCTGTCACTGCTCCTGTCCTTCCCAGTCTGGGTCTCACCATCCTGGAAGTGGCATGCAACATGGAGCTACCCCACGGTGGGGAGGGCTGGCAGCAGCTTCGCCAGGGCTATCTGCCCCCTGAGTTCACAGCTGGTAAGTGGAGGGCAAGGTTGGAGAGGACCATGCTGCCCCAGGGAGGGCCAGCTCGTGTGGGAGGAAATGGCTGGTGGTGGGGGACAACTGGGCTCATAGCCCAGTCACCCCTGACATGGCCCTGCCCTGTGGACAGGCCTGTCTTCTGAGCTGCGTTCTGTCCTCACCATGATGCTAGAACCTGACCCCAGGCTGCGGGCCACAGCCTCGGCCCTGCTGGCTCTGCCCATGCTCAGGCAGCCTAGGCCCTGGAGCGTTCTGTGGTATATGGCTGCTGATGCCCTCAGTCGAGGGTGGGCCCTGTGGCAGGTAAGTCGGGCGATGGTGGCAGGACACCCCGCCCTGCTCCCCAGCCCCAGGGTTTGACCTGCCTCCCTCACCCCTGTTCCCACAGGCCCTGCTTTCCTTGCTGTGCTGGCTCTGGCACGGGCTGGCTCACCCTGCCACCTGGCTGCAGCCCCCGAGCCCACCAGCCACCCCGCCTGGCTCCCCACCCCGCAGCCTTCTTCTGGATAGCAGCCTCTCCAGCAGCTGGGATGACGACAGCATAGGGTGGGTGAGAGCTGAGGGTGCTGGAGGCGGGGGAAAGGGGCGGTCAGCATGGCCAGGCCCCAGACCCAAGGGGATCAGTGGTGAGCAGGACCCATCCCACAGACCTGGTCCCCGTCATGCCCTGGAATGGGAACCAGGGCCAGTGGGGGTGCAGCCTGGCCTACTTTGAATGCAGCTGTCTCTTCCAAGCTCGGTGCGGGCAATGTGCAGAGCAGAGCAGAACTGACAACTTCAGGCTTCGGTCACTGCCACCTGAGGGAGCCGTGAGGGCCACAGCACCCCCCCTACAGCAGGGGCTGCCAGTGCCCACAGATGAGGCATTGGGGAGCTGGGCCCTGGGGAAACTCCTGGTGGTCAGATGAGGGGCTGTAATTAGGAAACTGCTGCAAAAAAAAATCATATGGTTGGGGCACAGGCCTCAGGAGGAATCACACCATTAACCCCTTCCTTACGGAAACATTACCCCCTTGCCACGGGGACACGTCTTATCAACAGGAAGTACCAGAAAAGCTTCATTTTCACAAGTTCACTACAAAGTCAGTCCTCCTAACCCATGTGTTCTGAGACAGAATGGAGGTAGCCTTTGAGCGTGGTCAGATGGCCTTTCAAAGTTGTGAAAGTGCTTCTCTCAAAGGGCACAGCATTTCTGCTGGTCCGCATTGTGCCCTCCCCGCCCCCGCCCATGCCAGGCTGGAGCCTGGCACCTGCACAGGGACAGGGTTGATCTTGCTGCCCCCACCCAGCCGTGGCCTCCTCCCAGTGCACACCCCACCCCTCGACACCTTACTTGTCTGGCCCACCCTGTGCAGGCTCTCACTCTCTCCGGAGGCTGTCCTGGCCAGGGCTGTCGGGAATACCTCCACCCCCCGCAATGGCTCCCCTGCCCCCCGGAACAGGTACTCACTGAGGTGAGCAGTCCCAGAGTCCAGTGGGGTGGGAGGTAGTGGCTTTTCAGATCCTAAGTGTCATTTGTCTCTCTTCCCCTCCACCCCAGGGATGCCCTGGACCTAAGTGACATTGACTCTGAGCCCCCTCGGGGTTCCTTCCCCTCCTTTGAACCTCGGAACCTCCTCAGCCTGTTTGAGGACTCACTGGGCCCAACCTGAATCTACAGGCCAGCCTTGGTGCTTTTAACCTTTTAGCCACCCCCCCCAATCCTCCTGGAGGCTGGGGTCCCTCTGGGAACTCCAGAGGTGCCTCCTGCCTACCCATGTCTAATAAAAGGTATTTGAATCTTGGGAGCACCCAAGCTTGCTTGTGTGGCAACACAGCGCTTCCTGCCCCTTTTATTGATACTGCCCCAGGTCTGAGGCCCCAGGGTGGGCGGAGGCTGGGCCCTGATGCAGGGCCCCAGGCCAGCTGACTGGAGGTAGGAGCCATGCGCTGTGTGGAGCAGAGATTTCCTGAGCAGGCTCGTCCCCACTGTGTAGGTCGAGACATCAGAGCATGGCACTCAAAGTGGAGGGGGTCCCTCAGCCCAGTGGGGCCCTGAGTGCAGGGCCACTCAGCTCTTTATGTCTCTGTGCTAGCTGCCTGGAGAAAGTAGCTGCAGCTGCCCTCCTACCCCATGGTCCTGGGATAAGAGACTAGTCCTGTTGCCCAAACCCCTCACTCCACAGTGTCCGGACAGAAGGGAGAAGGGGTGGGTGAGCCTCAGGCTGCAGGGAGGGCTGGCATGCAGAGCAGAAAGACAGAGGTCAGGAAATACGGGCTGAAGGCTGGGCAAGGCACCCATGAGGTACCTTATGTGTGGGGTAGGGTGGGCTCATGGCTCTGGGCTTGTAGGATTCCAACTGTCAGAGCCAGACATGACCCCAGTGTTGCTCTGGCCATACCCTCATAGGTCACAGAGGATAAACTGAGGCCTAGGAAGGAAAGGTTTCCTTCTAGCCTACACGGACAGTACCCTGAAAGAAGGCTGCAGGGAGGGGAAGCCAGAGCTCCGAGTTGTGAGTAGAAGAGATGAGTCCACAGGGAAGAATGGACGAACAGATGAGGTCTCCCAGCTGGGGTGTCCTGTTTGCTGGAAGCATCCAGGCATTCGGCCCTCGAAGACCAGCAGGAGGAGTGAAGCACGGTATTGTTGGTCCTAGAAGACTGTCGAGAGGCCAGCATGGCGGGCCAGAGGTGGCTCAGTGTGGGGGGCAGGCGTGGTGGGCGGCCCAGAGCAGGTCTGGCACAACACCGGCGTGCAGCTGGAGGATGGAGCCCACGCTGAGCAGGTGCATGATCTGGTGGGAGTTGCCCCAGTAGTCGAAACGGCCAGGTCCCCAGCGCTCTGGCAGGCGGGCCACGTTCACCAGTCCCCCAAGCAGTGCCAGCGCATCCATGCGCAGGTAGCAGGGCAGGGAGCCTGGAGCCCCGGAGCCCAGCCCCACTCCCCGGGCCCCAAACACCAGGAGGCGGGCGGCAGCCTGCCAACCGAAGGCTCGGAGCCGGGCACTGGTGGAGGGAGCTGTGAGGGCCCGCCAGCCAGCCACACCTGACAGCACGGTGTAGCCCACCAGGGCAGCTGGACGCAGCCAGGGCCTACAGGCCAGGGTGCAGTGGATGATGGGCAGAGCCCCTACACAGAGAGAAGCAAGAAAAGGCACATCAGTCTGGGGAACTGCCTGCCCTTTATATCCAGGGCTCATGTGAGTGACCCCTGCCTCCTTCCTGGTTGCCCCCTCCCAGCTCCCATCCTTCAAACCCACCCACCCCATCCCTTGGCTCACCGAGGGTGTTGACCAGGCAGACCCCACACATATCCAGGGTAAGGAGTCGGGTATACACAGTGCTGCCCCCTTGGTGGCACATGAAGAGGTGATAGAGCACGGAGCCTGCGGGGGGCGCCAGGCAGGCCACACAGTGCGTACCCCCCAGCCAGCCATCCTTGCCCAGCTGACCCCACGGCATGGTCATCGGCAGCAGCACCAGGAAGCCTAGCAAGGCTAGCCCTGGGGGAGGAGACAATTACCCATCACAGGGCCTGAGCACAGAGGACAAGTCATTTCCTCAGGGAGTCCACAGTCTAGAGATAATACAAGGGGGCTGAAGCAAGACACGTCTTGACAATGCTCTGCGCACACTAGTGGCCCGGCTGACAGAGGCAGGCCCTATGCCTTCAGTAACTTCAGGGACAGCAGAGCTCACAAGAGTTTCTGGGAGTAGAGACCGTCATCCACACTTTCAGTTGAAGAAACCGAGTGAGTGGCCCAGGTGACCCCAGCAGGTAGGCCATGGAAGCAGTCTTAACTCCCACGCTGCTCTCATCCCCGCAGCCACATTACCTCCCCAGAAAGCAAGGGGCCCCAGTCCCCCAAACTTGGTGTGTCAGCAGAAGCCAGGAGGAGGCATGAGCTCATACTGAATTCTGAATAGGATACGTGGGCGACAATACCAGATCCCCTGGTCACTTAGCTCACTTCTCTCAACCCCTGTGCCCTCTTTAGGTGACCAGACACAAGGAGCTTTGGGTCTTTTTGTCTTCCAGAAAGGGGCCAAGTCAGGCAGGGGAGAGGGGCTGAAGGAACCTGTTCCATCACCCCAGCAGCTTTTCCTGTGCTCCATTCCTGTAGGCCCCAACCAGGGTGATTCATACCCCTTCCCCAGGGTCACTCTGGCATTGCCCTCACAGGGGTCAAAGGCGGGCACAGCAGACTGAGGCTGCTGGCTGCAAACTGGGCAAGGGATGGCCAGGCCATAGTCCCGCAGTGAGGCAGGTACCAAGGTTGGGCCCTGCCTGCTCAGGCCCCTCTCCTGGCCCCGGGCAGCCCAAGGACGGGCAGGGCTGTGTCAGCAGAGCAGGGCCGCGGAGGAGGGGCCGGGCGCCTGCGGGGCTGGGGTTGGGGGTTGGAAGGAGCCGCCACCAGGCAGAGGCTCGCGGCCGGGCTGCTCCGGACGGGGGTGGCAGGGCAGCCGCACGGGGAGGGGCTGGGGCCTGGCTTTTCCTGGGCCCCTCCTTGCCGAAGTCAACACCCATCTATCTATTGGACGAGTGCTGGCGGGGGAGGGTGTCCCAAACACAGGGATTATGAAGGGGCGCGGACACCAGACTCCTCCCCGGGGCTCAGAGGGATTAAGCGGACTTGGTCCCCTACTCTGCTTCCCTCGCCTGCCCCGGGGGCCCCGCCCGGGGAGCGGAAGGACAGTTCCGTCCGGGACAATGGCAGCTTTGTCACCACGGCTCCTGGCCGTGCCAGGGCCCAGGCAGCCGAGGACCTGAGCACTGGGGCGCTCGCCGGCCTTCCGGCCCCCGACCAGGCTCGGGCAGGGCTGCCGCGGTGTGGGATGCGGGACGCGGCTCACCGTGCGTGTAGATATTGCCCAGCTCGTTGTGCAGGTAGAAGAGACTGCGCAGACAGCCCGAGCCGCTGCTGGCCGGCCGGTAGCCCGTCAGCACGAACTTGTTGAACTGCAGGTGCGGTGGCGTGCTGGCCCAGTCCAGCAGGCGCGGCCCGGCCAGGAACGCCATGGCCCGGCCTGGCGCGGGCGGTCCGCGCTTCCCTCGGCCTCCGGCCGCTTCCTCAATGCTGCCACAGCGCACGGAGACTCATCCCGGTGCCCACCCGCCGCCCAGTGCCCCGTCCGCGCACGCGCCGGCCGGGGGTCCCGGCCCGCGCCCCCTCCCGCGCTGCGCACGCGCGGGCCCGGCGCCCCCAACGCCGGGGCGGAGGCTGGGGACGCGCGGAGCGCCCGAGCGCAGTGCGGCCGGCCCTGCCGGGGCAGGCGCGCCGCAGGGACAGCTCGCGGCGGCGGCGGCGGCGGCGGCCGGTAGTCTCTTCTCAGCGTGGAGGACGGGTGCGGCCGGACGCTGGCGGGGACGCCAGACTCCGCCCCAGCTGCTCGCCCCCGCCATCCCGCCAGCGTTTCGCGCGCGGTGCTCGTGACGTCAGTCCTGCAAGGGCCAATGGGCGCGGCTGGCTGGGGGAGGCCCCGCCCACGCCCGCCCAGACTTTCGCTTAATTAGCATAATATATGCGGTCCTAGCCTCATTTGCATGGGGTAGCGGTAGGCGAGGAATCCAACGTTCTGGGTCCCGGTGGCTCTGCTGGAGAGGCCCCGGCGCCTTGAGTCTGCCGTGCGCGCCCGGGCTTTCCGCGCGACCCCAGAGGTCGAGGGACCCTTGGGTACTCACCCTCCCCGCCACGCAGCCCCACCCCTCACCCGGGCTCTGTCCAAGGTGCTGCCGGCCCCGGACCTTCGGACCAGTAAAGTCTAGACCCGGCGCGTCCCCGCTCCAGGGGTGATCTCTCCACCTTCCCGACTCAGCGGGAGCGCAGCAAGCCACGCTGAGATGCCTAGGCCTCTACAGGTGTGTCTGACGCGCCCAGCACCCTCGGGCCATGCCCTGCCCTTCAGGCCAGGCTCCTTATAACCTGGGCTCGGTCAAACTCGCTCCCTGTTATCGCCCACTGGGGTTTAAGAGGAAAATTACCCAGAGCAGGCCCAGGCCAGCAGGCCCCAGAGGATGGAAAGTTGCTAGCTCAGTTGGTAGAGCAAGAGATAACCAGAAGCCCCGCTGGGAGCAAGAGATAACCAGCCATTTCCGCTTCTGAACAGGCTTCCCGCCACAAGCTCCCTAACCGCTGTTCCTGCCTAAAGCAGACCCCCGCTCCCCCAGTTTAAATCCACATACCAGCAGCCAGCATAGCCCTTGGAACCTGACCCGCTGCACCCCCCTATAAAAACCCTGTAACTCCGCTGCCCGGGGCCCAGAATTTCGAGTGCGAGCTCGTCTGGGTCCGCTGGCGTAAAATAAACCCGAGTTCTCCTACTTCTTCGAGTGTCACTTGGTTTCTCGAGGGTCTGATTATTTTTCACAACAGGGGCACCTTCAGTTCCACCCAGAAAAGACAGGAAACGGAAGGGAAGAGAGAGGGTAGGAGGCCAAGGGAGAAACGTTGGTCCCTTTCCCGGTTCATCCTAAAGCGGGTCCAGGAATGCGTGCCTTCTCCGGCTTAACCACGCCCACAATCGGCTTCCTCCTCCTCCCCTTCTCCAGGACTCCGCCCACCCATCCTTTCGCCTCCTCCGTTCCTCAGTCTTCAGCGTTCCAGGCGGCTCCAAATCACCTCTTGTGGGGACCGGCCTTAATTTGCATGGACACACCCAACCTTGGCCCCGATACCCTCATTAACATAACCCCTCTCATCACACAGCAACTTGCAAAGCCCTGTACCAAAATAGGTCCTTTATTCAAAGTCTACCGTTGGTCTTTTGACTACTTTTCTCGACCTCTCCCATTTCCCTTAGGGCAGCAGTCCAGGACCACCCCAACAGGCTCTCAAAGCAACCTGAAATCAGAGACCCCCGTATCAAGGTTCATGAGGAAGGGAAGCTGGGATTCCTCTTGCCCTTTGGCCTCAACCATCTGGACCCCGAGGGTCAGACCAAGTTCTCACTAACAGCATCAGATGCTTCCTGTCCAATGCCTGGCCTCCACGGATGACCAGGGACAGAGATGCCCTTACAGGGGCGGAAGGTCAATGCAGAGTGCGGTATGAAGTCTCAGGTGTCCATCCCGCTGGGGAGGGTCCACTGGACCCTGGGGGTCCCAAGTCAGAGAGCAGAGATGAGCGAGCGCAGGGAACTCTGGCTGGAGGCGCTCAGGGGCCGGTAACTCGCGGCTAGACCCTCAGCCTGAGGGTCCCCGGGAGGGCAGGGCAGGGCCACCCCTCGAGGCCGGCGGTACCACACAGCCCAGCTTCTCCCGGGGCCCCGGGAAGGCCCCAACGCCGGGGGGCCTTTCCCCGGAGCCAGCAGACAGCTCCTAGAGAGGGAGCAGACGTCAGCCGAAGCCCCAACCAACTTACCTCCAGCATCCTGCTTCGCCTGCGATCCCACGCGCGAATCCCTGTGTGGACGCAAGGCCTCTGCCCTCAAGAACCCAGGATTTCCTCCCAGCCCCGGTCCCCTTGGAGGCCCCAGCTTCCCGGTGAGGTCCCCCCCCCCCGGAGGCACCGAGGCGTCCGCCCTCAGGCCCCGCCCCAGGGGGCGCACCGTCGGCGCAGCAGACGCAGCAGCGACAGCAGCAGCAGCAGCAGCACCGAGATGGCCGTCACCGTCGAGAAGACCCGGGCTGCGGGCGCACGGTGCTGTGAGGACGGGGTCTGGAAGGGGCGGCTCCCCAAACGCCCTCCCGCCTCGCACGCCCGCCTCACCCCCCATCGCGGCCTCCGGAGCCCCAGGCTGGGGGCTGCAGCTCACGTTGGCCCAGTCGGGGGGCGCTGCGGGGGTCTGCGCCGAGCCCTTGGGCACCGGGTCGTCAGTGGCGTCCTGCAGCCCTGCGGACAGAAGTGTGAGGCGGGGCGGCGGGGCGGCGGGGCGGCGGGGCGGCGGGCGGGGGGCGACCAGGCCGGTTCTCACCGCGGTAGGTGAGCGCGAAGCCCTGCGCGTGGCCGCGCGCGTCGCTGCGGAAGGTGAGCAGCAGCGCGGCGGCGCGCAAGCGCAGAGGCCCGGGCGGCGGCTGGCGGGCGCCGTCGAAGGCGCGGAGCAGGCTGCCCGAGGCGGCGTCGCGCAGCTCCAGCCGGTCGCGCGGGTCGGCCAGCTCGAAGAGGCGGAAGGTGAGCTCCAGCGCGGCGCCCGGCGGGCTCAGCGCCCAGCTGCAGTTCCGATCCGGCCCGTACTCGTCCGGGAAGTCCGGGGAGTACACGACGCCCTGAGGAGCGGTCCAGTTGCCCTGGCAGGAGCCCACGGACACTGTGGGCGGGGCCGGCCATCAGAACCGCGGGGCCAGGCTCCTCTCCCTCCCCCGGGGGGGGGGCCCGACCCCAGACCTGCCTCCCTGCCGCCTGAGCCGGGTCCCACTCCTTCCGAGGACTGTGACTCCTCTCAAGCCCCGCCCTCAACCCGAGGCCCCGCCTGACCCCCAAGATCGGCCGGGTCGCCTCTTCTGCGCGTCCCAGATCCCGCCCGCTATGAGGGGATCGCGCTCCCGGGTCTCACCCAGACTCCGCCGCTCCCCCAGGCCCCTCGTCCCCGCTCACTCCTCACCTTCGTAGATGCCCAGACGGCCGTCGCCGCCGCACAGCTGGCCCGGGTGGCCGAAGCAAATCTGGTCACAGTCGGTAGCTGGGGCCGGGCGTCCCCGGTCCAGGTCGCTTTCAGAGCCACAGAAGCAGGCGTAGCCAGCCTCCACGCCCGCCAGCTGGGAGCACAGACTGGGTGACCCCAGAGGCAGTGGTTGGGGCAGGGGCGGGGTAGTGGGAGCCTAGGGTCTGGGTCGCAAGTGGGAATCGGGCTGGAGGTTCCAAAATCAGCCTCAGGGTTTGACGTCAGAGTTGGGAGTTGATCTGGGTCCTGAGGTCAAGTTGAGGGGTCACCGTTCTGGGCCGGAGGTGGGGGGGCTGTACCTGGTAGCCCTTCATGCGGCAGAAGCGAAGGCACACCTGGACCGTGAGCTTCGTTGAGGTGCCGCTGGGGCCGCTGAGGGCGGGGGGTGCCCCCGAATCCACGAAGCAGCCCAGGTATCCGGGCACTGAGGGGGCAGCAGAGCCAGGCTCTGTCAGCGCCCCCCAAAGAGAACTCCACCCAGGCAGCCCTGCGTTCCCAGCCTTGTCCAGCCGGGCCCACTCACTGTGGCACGTGGGGATGTCGCAGTAGCGCCAGTAGATGCCCTCCTCTGTCTCGGCTACGTAGCACCACGGCTGCACGTCGCCGTCGGGGTTCCTGCCGGTGGGGGACAAGTGGTCCAGGTCCCGCCACCCCAGAGGCTGCAAATCCCAGGCCCCACCCCACAGCCTATTCGCAAAATGGCCACCGTGTGTGTTAGAACTTTGTGTGTTCCTCTCCGTTGTCGCACAAATTCTGGTTTTGTCCCACGTGCTTCTGGATGTCGACTTCCGAGGGGTCGGTGGGAAGTCCTTAAAGGGGCCCCGAGAGCGTATTTTGGGCTTCAGCTGTTGCTAGGACGTGACCTTATACACGAGAACTTTGAGGCCATCAGTAGTGTTGTCCCCAACCCTGCCTTGGGCCTCAGCCACTTCCCTTGGGCTGGGACCCCGCTTTAGAGCAAAAGTGGTGAGCCCTGAGCTTTGCGGTGTCCTCCAGCTCAGCTCCAGACAGCAGCTGTGGCTCTGAACCCCCAACAACGAGTAGGGCCCCTCAAATCAGTTGTATGGCAAGGGCCCGGCCCCTCACTCCAGGGCTCGCCCCACGACTGGGTCCTGCCCGCGCGGGCTCCTTGAATGCCCAGGCCTGACCCAAGACTGCAGACTTTGGGCACCTAAGGCGGGTCCCACGCGTGACAATGTTCCAGGCGTCCAGCCCCGCCCCCAGGACGCGCTAGGCCTCGTCCCTCGCCGAGGCTCCGCTCCCAGACCCTCCCGGGTGGACTTTGTATCCGCCCAGCCAAGACCTCCCTTGCACCCACAGCGAGGCTCTGCCCCAGGACCCCGCCGGCACCGCGGCGCCCAGCCCCGCCCCTCACCGGCAGAAGTTGTGCGGGCCCAGCCCCCAGCGGCCCTGGGGGTCGCTGGCGCTGCTGTAGCTGTGCTGCTGCGTCTGGTCCCAGAACAGGCACGGGCGGCCGGCCCCGCGCGGACCCGTGCGGTTCTGGTGGCCGCGGTA